CCCTATCTGGTCCAGCTAATGCCTCCTCCATGCTAGCTGGTTCCTCTGGTGCAGGGGCAAGAAAACAGTACGCAGGCTCATCCTCCTCATCCGGGTCATAGCCATGCGGTAGAATCAGCAATGCCTCCTCGGTCCCAAGCTGCTGCTCTGCTACATCAGCTCCTGCAGTCAGCTTCTTAGTAGCCATACGGGTACGTCCTGGCCTGGAGACGGGTGTCTCCCATCCCTTCATAACGACACCCTTCGGCTTCTTAGTTTTCCCCTGCTGCTGCTCTCTCCCCTCAGATCCAGCAGCTCCACTAGTGCCAGTCTCCACATCATTTTCTCTACCAGCAGTTGCCTCCTGTACCTTCTTTCCATCACCACCCTCTGCAGCTGCCTCCTCTCCCTCCTCCCACATACTAGGAGTCAGGTCCAGCTGCATGGTGATCTGCTCCATTTGCTGGGACACTCTGGCCTCCGGCTGTTTCTCCCAGCTCCCATACATCATGCCCTCAACAAACTTCACATCCCTGCTGTCAAACAACACACCCTTGGAAGGTTCCCACAGCAGCCATCCCTTGCTCTCAGCAGCCAGCCCCAAATGCACACACCAGATTGCACTCGCCCCCAACTTACTGCGGTAGGTCTTGGGGACGTGGGCGACTGCCATGCAACCGAACACCCTCAGCATGTCCACCGGCGGCTTCCTCCCAAGCCACCTCTCCAACGGCACCCACGAGTCATCCCCAACCTTTGTGAGTACCCTGTTCCTAGCGACGGTAGCGTGCCGAACAGCATGGGGCCACATCAAGTTGCCCAGCCCAGATTCTATGAGCAGCGCCCTAGCTGTCTCCAGAATTGTCCGGTTCGCCCGTTCTGCTACACCGTTAGACTGTGGGGTGTAAGCCGTGGTCAGCTCCCTCTGGATGCCCTGCTTCTTGAGCCAGGCCGTCATCTCAGCTCCAAGGAACTCACCACCCCGATCTGTCCTAATCCGCTTCACCACACACTCCGCTTGCTTCTCCACGAACGGCAGCCAATCGTCCCGAATCGTCGAGGCGGCGTGATCTTTCTGCTTCAGCGGATACGCCCACATTAGCCTTCTCCAGTCATCCACTATGGTTAGGAAGTACCGCTCCCCCTTGTGCCCTTGCACCGGCAGCGGCCCCACCAAGTCCATGTGGACCAGCTCCAACGGCTTTTTGCTCCTGCCAGCCACACTATGGAAGGGGAAACGGGTGAACTTTGAAAGGAGGCAAATTTCACAGTTATCATCGGGTGGTTGTCCGTTCAGCTTCAAGCCCTTAACGGCTCCATCCTTCTCCAGCTGCTTCAGCAAAGGCATTGCCACATGCCCCAAACGTCGGTGTGCAGTTGCCCAATCTGTCTCCCCAGATCTGGCCGACACTTTCACACCAACCCCTCCAACGGCGTTGCACTCCCCCTGGGATGCAGACCCCTCTCCAGCCTGCCCCCCACCGTGCCACGCCAGCGCCGGCAGCTGCCACATAGATCTGTACACGTCCTTGCTCTCGTGCAGATCCCAAAGCACCCGATTGCCCAGCTTCCCCTTATAAGTGCGTGCCCCATCCGTGCTAGTGCTCACCCCAGACTTGCCAAGCTTACGGAGGGAGATGAGGTTGGCCTTGAGTTCAGGAACAAGAAGAACGTCGTGCAGCACCACCGGCTTGCCATCCGCTCCCTTAAACACAGCTCGTCCCGCACCAGCCACCTTCAGCGCGTGTCCAGAGGCGGAGCACACCTCGTTGATCGGAGCAGCTCGTACGTCGTCCAGCAGGTCCTTGCGCGGCGTCATTGTCCAAGCAGCGCCTGTGTCCAACACCCAATAATCCAGGGGGTGCAGCTCTGCTCCAGCCTTAGCAGATGCGTCTCCTTGCTCCCCCTTGTCTCCCATATGGAAGAATTGGCCCGCGGTGCGCTCTTTCTTCTTTTCCGTACCGGCGTTGCCCTTCGGGTTGTTGTCGGACGAATCAGCGACCATGTTGGTGTCGTTTTTCTGGTTCCTCCGCGCGCCGCCATCCTGGTGACGATTCTGGGGGGTCCATCCATCGGGTTTCTTATAGCACAAAAACCAGGGGTGCCCTTCCTTCTCACAATACCAGCAACTCCCTTTCATTTTGCCACCAGCACCCGACTTGCCCCCACGTCCAGATTTCGAACCGCGACCCCAACCGGTACCTCCTTGTTGGTCGTTGGAGTCGTCGTCTTTCTTTGCACCGCGTCCAGCACCACCGAAGCCACGTCCTTTGCCACGTCGGCTCCCTTGCATCCCGTAGCCGCTGCTGCCGTCGTCTCCACCCCTCAGTTGGCGGCGACGGAAGTCCTCCTCCAGAATCTTCGTCCGCACCCACTCGAGCGTCCACAAGCTCTGGTTCTGCGGCAGGCTCAATCCACTCGTGAATTGAAGCCACGATTCCGGCAGCAGCGAGAGCATCTTCAGGCACTTGGTCTGCTCCGGGTAGGTGATTCCCGCGGTCGCCAACTTTGCGTAGAGTTCACGCATCTTGTCCAGGATAGGTTGCACCGGCTCTCCCTCGCTTAGGCGCAACGCGGACAGCTCCCTCTCCATCATGAGCGTCGCAGCGACGGAGGTAGGGGCGTGCAGCTCCTTCAACACCTTCCACGCCTTCGGACCGCACTCAACCTCCGGCAGCAGGTGCATGACGTGGTGACGCTGGTTCAGCTCCAAACTCTGCGACATCAAGTAGTAGCCAGCCGAGGCGCGCTCGTCCCAATCTTCCTGAAGGGCGGGGTCACTCGGTCTAGGCTCCTCCCCAATCATTAGTTTCAGCAATCCGATCTGACGGAAATAAAGTTGCATTTTCCAGGCCCAATCATCATAGCCCTCACCATTGAACTTCTCGACGGTGAAGTTTCTCAGCACCTCCTTGATCAGCGAGCCCTGGCTTGTTCGCGCTCCCCTTGGCGCAGAAACACCAGAATCATGGCTGCCGCTACGATCTTGGGCTGAAGATTCACCAGCTACCGCCGAGATGTTCCCCGCCATAGCTACCTATATCGAGGATCACTATAACGCAGCTCTGATACCAGCTTGTTGGTGTAAGGGCCTAACAAACTCAAGCTATTAAGACTTTATCAAACTTAAAACCTCTCCTCGGGGTCACCTCCAAGGGTCATTCGGTGCCTGGTACAAGACCAGCCCCTATCCTCGGGTCCGAGTTTGATCCCTCTCTCTACAAACTCGGACCCGAGGATAGGGGCTGGTCTTGTACCAGGCACCCAAGGACCCTTGGAGGTGACCAAAGACTACTCCTTACTTTCACACATGCAAGCACCTACTCTAGTATGTGGTTCCAAGCTAGCACCGCCAGGTGAACATACCATCAGCTGAAATACAATGAGGTGTATATTCTACCTGCCCACGAGTAGTTGCGCGTTCTTGCGATATTGACAGTTGCGCATACTCGATAGTGCAATGCCGTCACTTCCCTCCAACCGCAACTACCGAAATGCACGATTGGAGTGTACTTGGCGAATCCCGCAACATAGGTATGCGGTATGCGAAACCTCACTACTCTGTATAGGGCTGCTACACGCGACGAAACCAGCGTGTTCAGGGCTTCGCCTCAACACATCAACACATTACACTCGAAAAATTATGAGCCACGAGTTTGCGGCCCACATGGAGCTTGTAGGATCGAGTTCCTGATTCGTTGAAGAGATCGCACGCCCACTGAAGACAACTGGGTGCCTCTTGATAGAATCGAAAACCACCCTGTCCTCACCGAGTATCTACACAGCCGCAACTTCTGAGATGTGCACCCACTCTTGTACGGAGGGCCAGCTTGTGGAGGGTGGTTGGTAGTGTAAGGATTTTTTTTTCCTTACTTCGCGCCCCTGCTCATCGCGTCGTACCCGACTGTTCGCGCCAACAGTACCCAGCAGTGCACCGTTACCACTCGCGACAATCGCCTCAACCACTGTTCCCGCCACTGTTCACGACGCGACCCAATCTCACGGCTCGGTTAGTAACCCGCGTTCCAGACTTCCGCCTCGGCATTTTCCCAACCTCGGCACTAGGCCTGTAGCACACCCCACTTTCACGCTAGCTTCGCTAGATAACCTTCGCTCATCTCTTCGCTCAATAACATGTTTTTGCTTCTGAAGTGCAATTCTAGCTCATTCACTCGATTGCACTCATAACAACAACTCATAATAGTGCTCGTCTATGTGAGTTGTGTTTGAGTTTTCCTCCCTTGAATTTGCTCTCGCGGGATACACCCGATCGAAGCCCACAATGGTGCCTGCCTGAGCAACACCTTCCTTGCAGCGACTTCTGTCGCAGCGGTCGCACATGGCCAAGGCCTTGCCGCGCCAGTTGCGGGCTTGCGAGAGATTCGCTAGCGACCGCCTTGTCCAGGCCCTAGTTGGCGACAGTGATATTTGCAAGATCCGAAGTTAGCGGGACTGGGGCTCTCCAGCTAGGAGTCAACATTCCGCTTGACTTTTTAACCAATAAGTCCGGCAAACATTGTGGTGACCGTGAATGTGGATCCTAAGTGTCGGGCGGAGCCCACCCTTCACTGTGGTTGGGAACGGGCCCTCAATACGAGGCGTCTTCCTTCCCTCCAATAATTCCTTGTCCAAAAAATCATGTTCCGTTTTTGCTTTCGCCAACATGGTCACCTTCGCACACACCTTACGAAACGCCCATTAGAAGGCTCGATGGCGACTAAGGGAACGCGTTCCCCGCAGCGATTTCTGTCGCAGCAGTCAGCACTGCGTCCCGCCACAGAGGTCCCTCCCGCCTCGCACGGAAGCTCCGTGGAGCGGATGATGCGCCGCACACTAGGCTCGCTGCGATGCCCATTTAAGCATCCGTGAACGATCGCTCTCGTCACCTCGTCTGCTTTACCAGTTAGCACCAATCTTCCTCTAGCACTCTTTCTCTCGGATTGCTCCGCTTCACACTCCTGCTCTACTCCTGCTCTCGGATTACTCTCGGATTACTCGTGGCACTCAAGAGCGAAGAGCCAATGGCGTCCGTCAGCATGGGGAATGGCAAGGCCGTGCTTGCGCTTCTCGCCATCGTCACCGTCATCGCCGGTACGCTCCGTGCGCGTCGCTCTCTCGCCGTGCTCTCATGCGCATCATGGTGTTCACGCCGTCATGAGTTAATGCTCCACACGACAGTGGGTACACGTGATGGATGCCCAATGAACACTCCCATGCGTCCGTGCCCCATCATGCCTCATGCCCCTCTCTTGCAGCGTGTCTCCTGCAGCCGTCGCTAGCAGCAGCGAGCGTATCGGTCCCAATGCGGATTGTCACACAAATGGTGATCCACAGCCGCCTATTAAGCTTCGCGTCGCGCCGCTGTGTCAACTTTACTGCCATGCCGGCTTCTGTGAGGACGCAGGTGGAGGTGCTGTGGCATCAAAGAAGCGATGCTGGCAGTGCTGAGTGCCGCGCAATTCGGATCTTCCAGGATTCCCATTGCAAAGGGCAGATGTTGGACGTTTTCGCCATGGGCAGGAAGAGGTGCACCTTTCGTTCCTGCTCGCCCTGCTTCCATGCTCGTATGCTTTTCACGCCGCTCGTTTGCTCCCCCACCTGACCATCGACCGTTGCACTCTTGCCCCCCCCCTGTGTGCTGTAGTGCCAAGTATATCTCCGGTGCAGCCAAGTCCGCCCTCTGCATCATTGGTGCGTCCCCGCTTGCCTTGCCCCGCCCGCCTCTCCTCCATTCCGCTCCAGGGCCATTTTGAGAAGTCTCGAGAATACCCTGCATAGTCGTCCCCTCACACTGACTCCGCGCTCTCACCCGCACAGCCCAGTTTGTTGCGCTGCACAGCGCACGAGTGGGTGGGTGCCTCATCTCTGCCTTCCCTTTCCCCCCTTTCGCGCTGCGCTGTGCTGCAGACGACATCTGCCAGTATGTGCGCTGCCCTGCCAACTCCATCGCATGCAGCCCAACCACCGACGATCGCTTGGCAGTGACGTGCCAGTGCTTCAAAGGCTACACTGCTGTCAGCAACACATGCCAGCGTTCCGGTAAGCTTTGTATGGATTTAACCGTACCTCTCTTTCTCTCTCTTTCTCTCCCTGTCTGGATGGACCCTCGAGCTCACCTGCCGTCTCTCTCCTTGCCTGTGCTGCAGAACCCACGTGCGTCACTACAGGCTGCCCTGCCAACTCCGAGTGTGGCAAACGCACCGGAGGCAATGAAATGGAGTGCATGTGCAAGCCGGGCTACAGTGCATTCCGTGGCATCTGCATCCCCACAGCAAAATTCAACACCACCAGAACACCTTCCAATGACGTTTCAGAAGCTTTGAGTGATGTTTCAGAATCTTCCAGCAACAATTCAGCAGAACAGAACCTCCCAGCGTCGACGCTGTACCTTCCTGACCCGCCAATTGAGCCAAGCCTTGAGGCCTGAATCAATAGCCACAGCGCAGGAGAATGTTGTGCTGTTGCTGGGCTTCTCAGAAAGTTTAGAGAGGCAGTTGGTGGACGGTTCCAATGACGGTTGTTGAGCAGGCGCCAAGAAGGGTAGCTGGCTGGCAAGTTCTCAAGAGGGAAGTATGGAAGCAGCCAAGGTGGAAACAGAAGAGTCTTCTCTTGTCTAGACTGGATCAGATTTCTCTCGTTCACAACCCCATCCTTCTAGGTTTTCTTTACAGTAAAAGAGGTTATGTAAGCCTCCCTCTCCTCCCCCCTCCCCTCTCACGTCTCCCTTGCATTCTTTTCTGAATTTTTTATCTTTGTCTTGGTTTTGATGTGGGAAGTGTTGCAAATATAAAGCATACGAAAAGTTACTTGCTCTTAGGTTTAAGTGCAATCCCGTGTATAAGCCTCTAGACCTTACAATAATTGTACAATTACTGTACGGGCTGCATTCTTGGACGACTTTGTTGGAGTTGGCATTATTGGTGGTACAATTACTGGTGTGGAGTGGAGGTTGTTGGGAACAAATAGTCTTAAGCGCCTCTGTCGTGTCGAAACTCAAGACACAAGCGAAGCAGCTCAAATCGAAGCACCGCGAGTCAACCCTCGGAGGTTAACGTAACCGCTAGAGGTTACGAGAAAGTCAAAGGTCAGCGACCTTTGACCTGACGCAGCGCGACAGCAAGGACACACAACTGACTCGACATTGAGCAGTTGCCGGAGTCGCACTGTATCGAACCACAACAGTAAAACAGTTACAATTATGTCTCTTCATATTCTCTGTACTCATATATATATTCCTGTATCTCTTTGCTTTAATTAGCTTACTTTGCCCTCACATACCGTATCCCCCCGGATATACCCCCATGGGGGGCAATAATAAAACAGGTTTTTTCATGGGGGTGGGCTTATAATCGAGTAAATTTATAAGCGCCGGCGTTTATAAAATGACATACATATTTTTTATATCTTTTAACACCAAACTGTAGGTCTCGTGCTTGCCTTTTCAATCGAGTCGAAGTTACATGGGATCGTCTGTGAAATTCTCGCGCGCGCTGGGAGATACACCCAATCTGACTCACATCCAGCTCCTGATAGGTCCTGCTGACTGGACCCGCATCCAGTGCAGGGTCCGAATGTGAAGGGAACCGAATCTGCAACATATCCGCCTGCTAAAGTAAAAATCGTTACAGCTTTTTGAACACATTTCAAATTTTAAAGTTTACGTGCGCTTATAATAAAACAAGTTTTTTCAAGGGGTGCGCTTATAATCGAGGAGGGGATATAAGCGCCATATGCCAATTAGAAGCGCCAGGCGCTTATCCTAGGGTGGCGCTTATATCCGAGGGGAGACGGTACTAGCGCAAGGTGGTTCAAGGACTTTATTCAAACGCTTCCGCTACTACATCATTTACTCAGACTTTAACTCTACTAAAGATCCTAGGGCGTTCAGCCCAACATGGTATGAGAGCTGGTTAGAGTTAAAAATTTCTCTTCAACACTTAATACATCAAGAAGACATGTCTGCTAGAAAGGAGAGGAGCTCCTCCAACGGCTCTCCCGGTACTACCCCTACACCACCTCCTGCCTCTGGCCTACTGACAGAGGAAGGGACAACAACTAGACCAGCAGCTGGGTCTACGGAAACACCCGCAAACCAAGGCGCGGGCTTCGATCCAAGCATGATGGAGAAATTCTTCTCCTTCATGTCCTTCTACGAGCAGCATCAGCAAGGAGTACCTGCGCAATCAAACAACAGCAGCAACAACAACAACGTGACGCCCATGAGTCTCGATGGCTCATCCTACGCACGCGGGAATCAACATCAACAACCTACCTTCGCTCCGTACGAGCCCCAGCGCGGCTCCGTCAGCTTCATGCCGCAACCACAACCTGCACCGGGACAAGAAAGAGCACTGGACGCACTACAAGTTCAGTCGCAATTCGCGCATGTTCTGAAACTACAAACGACAAAACCTTTCGACGGGAAGGATTTCTTTACCTGGTCGTTCGAATTCGAGCTGATGATGGAAGGAGCGCAGATCCTTGGCTTCTTCGACGGGTCCCTGCCATATCCAACAAACGGCACGCAGTATGAGAAGCAGCAGTACACCTATCAATCGATGATGGCGTACACAATACTACTGAGGAACATCACCCCGACTCAACAGCAGAACATAAGGACTTACCGAGGTTACGGTAACTCCGCGGAGCTCGCGTACAACCACTTGAAGAACCTGTATCAAGCAACAGACAGCGTAAACCAAAGCCGGTTAATGGCGCAGCTGACAACAATCGAAATGAAACCAGGCGAGAAGGGCATGGCATATATCAGTCGCTGCCGCGAACTGCGCGACAAGCTTCTTCGATGTGGAGGATCGATTTCAGAAGACGCCTTTGTCACGGTTGTCATCGGTGGTCTTGGCCCTCACTGGCGCTCCACTCGCGCCATATTACGGGCACACGAGAGAATCTCCGAAGCAGCACTCTGCGCCGAAATCCATGCTCAACAGCAGGACATGGACCTGCAAGAAGAACGACATAAGAAGAAAACGTCAGTACCAGAGTTCGCGTTTCACACCCAGCGACGCTACAACAACAACAACAATTGAAGCCAGTGCCTCCGTTTTGCCATATATGCAAGACTTCAGGGCATCCTCGTACGCACTGCCCGTATCGCCAGCAATCGACAACACCACAGTGACAACTTCGGCCTTCAAGCTCCCAAGTCACTTCAACGCAAGCAACTCCCACGACAAAGATTCAAACCTCAACGACTCCAACAGGACAACCTGCACAAGGAGCAAGAAACATCGTCAACTGCATGGCAAAGACAACAGATTCCTGCATCACCGAATCACCGCCGCACTACTCACCAGAAGAACGACTTGACGAAACCACACCTCGCCGCGAGTCACTTCAGCCGAACCCGACATACGCCGCCATCGCTCAAAGCGAGCCATCCGGAAGAGACACTTGATTCTTGGACAGTTGCTGCGGACAACACATGTGCTCCTCAGGACGTTTCGTTCAACGCGAGCACCGACTTCAACGAGAAGTCGTCATCACCGTCGCCAATAATCAGAACCTGCGAACAAGACGACAAGGCATAGTACAGCTTCAGTCACGGGAGACGAACGTCGTACTACAAATGTCGAAAGTCCTAATAGCAGAGGGACTCGGCTACAACTTACTGAGCGTCAGTCAGCTGATGGCGAAAGGCATACACCTGGAAGCCGGCAGCACCACCCAGGAGTTCAAACTGTACCACAGGAAGGGCGGCCTCTACATCGGAAAGGCGGTTCTGAAGAATAACGTCTTTGTCCTTGACTTCGTCCCAGACCTGGGCACCGCAGACAGCGACGCCATCGTGAACTTCGCCGACTGGACGCACCCTCCAGATCTTGATCCAGACTTCAGCCCGAAAGGCTTCTAGTACTCGCATACCATCCCTGAAGCAGAACGAACACGCGCGTTAGCAACAATTCAACATCCGGCAGCAGCAGAGACAACATCGGCAGCAGCAGAAGCAGCAGAGACAACATCGGCAGCAGCAGAAACATCATCGGCAGTAGCAGAACCATCGTCAGCGACACCAGTTCTCGTTGACGAAGCACCACCAACACTCGCACAGCAGCTGAACCCAACTCAACGAGAAGTCCGCAGAAGCGCAAACTTCGTCGCCAGCTTCTACTCCAACTCCGATGCGTATCAACGCTCACCCGGACACCGCGCCTCCGAAGACATCTGGCACGCACGCATGGGACATCCAAGCAACACCGTGTCAAATAATACAATAAGAGCAGGAGTCCTAGACAAGGATTCATTACTACTACCCGACGGCAAAGAACTTCAACGGGCACAAGGAACTTGCCTCACCTGCCCCGAAGCCGACTTACCACATCGACCGTTTACTCCTCACCACAACTAGAGCGCACCCGCGTACGCACCACTCGAGAAGGTGTACAGCGATATTCTCTTCAATCGAGAACCAGGACAAGTTACTTACAACTACACGATAACCTTCATCGATGCCGCCACTCGATACGTCTGGCACCTAAACCTACCCAGCCGCGACATGGCACTCGCAGCGTTCGCCGCCTGGCTACCAGTAGCAGAGAGAGAGTCGGGAGCACAGCTGAAAAGCTTCCAGTCAGACGGAGGAGGAGAATACACCTCTCAGCGCTTCAAGCAGTACCTGGCGGAAAGAGGAATCAAGTAGCTCTTCTCCCTTCCCTACGCCCATCAGCAGCAAGGTGTCGCAGAAAGAATGAACAGGACTCTGCAGAACAGCATGCGCAAACTGCTACGTGGCATGCGGCTACCCAACCACCAGTGGCCTGCAGCAATGGACCACGCTGTCATGCTGCACAACTTGATGTCGTCGTCCTCACTTCCGAACAACGCATCACCGCATCTGCTCTGGACAGGGAAGCAGGGCAGCACAAAAATGTTACGAGTTTTCGGGTGCATGGTACTGTACCGACCGCCAGAAGCACGAGCGGGAAGATTTTCACAACGCGCACAATGGGGACTACACCTCGGCATCGAAAAGAATTACAACGCGTGGAAAATATTCGACGTCCACTCCAAGGAAAAAGTAGCAGCACGTGACGTGATCTTCTACGAACGACTCACGCTTCAGACGTACCTCGCCAACTTGCACGAAAATCAGGACCCCACAGGTGGCTTTCGTGGTGACCGAGCCTTTGCCTCAGCAGCAGACGAAGCAGACTGGGACGAGCAGAACGTCGACAACGCATCAGAAGAAGCCGGACCTCTACCGTTCTGCTCCGTCAACGTCCCCATGGACGAAGAAAATCCTCGCGAAAGCGCCAACGCCGAAGTCTTCTACCACTTCGCCGACAACGGTTACGTAACACCTGCG